AGCGTTCGCCTTCCAATGAGGTGAACCGGGTTCGAATCCCAGCGACGGCTGATCGTTACGAATCCGCATCCGGCTTGCACTGAACATAGTGCTGACGTGAAATATCCACAGGGGCAGATGGATCCTGGGTTAGAGTCCCTTTGCCATCAGGCTAACCATGGGAGGTTCTCGTCGTCTTCCTCTCCGTGTAACGCAAATGCGGGTTAGTTGCATCTAAAAGTCCTCCACGAAGGCAAAATTCTCCCAATACTTGATCCAGGAGTTTCCTTGTCTTCCGGATTGGGTTCAAAATTACAAGGCTGCCGAGTTGAAAATTAGTAGTCGTAAACCCAAAAATTGGCTCGGTTGTTTAACGACGGTTATAAAATGAAAATCATTAGATCAAAAATTATTCAGGGTGATTGGTTTATTTTTTTTCGCTATGAGCATTTGTTTAAAATCATGTAGTTAAATAGATTTTTTTTAAAAAATCTTTCAGATCACTCAAGTTAATTAATGATGACATTTTTACTATTGTAAAATAATATATTTTGTTGTGTCAATAGCAATATTATTGCTTCCTTTCTTTTCAATAAAGACACACACACACACAGATATCAATATCATGTACATATTTATTCATTTATTCTGAAGAGCCGTACTCTTTGCATATACCATCACAGCAAGAAGTACTTCAATACAGAAGAAAGTACGAAATAAATTAGGAAAAATTACAAACATTTTGGAGTTGTGAATTTACAATTTTCCTTCACAAGGTAAAAGATCTTCCGAAAAGATTTAGTATCAGTGAATTTCAAACCGGTGAATAAACATAATTTGTATTATTGGATTCCTTAATGGTTATATTTGACCACAAAAAGTCACTGTGTGCTTAAGTTCGGTTCACATATTTGATAGTGTTAGCAATGCTAAAGGCTAAATTTCTTTGAAATTAGCTCCATTATATATAACTACCTACATCTAATTCCCTAACTTCGAAATTTATTTTAACTACTGATTGTGCAGAGTTTGCTTAGCGCAACAACACTAAAAAGTATTGAAATCAAAAGTGCAATGGCTAAAAAAAAGGGATATTTTAAAGATAGAGAGAGTGACGTTTTAATAGTACAATTAAGAACTTGGCTTAAAAAATTTGTAACAGTTTGATAAATTAGTATTATTGCGCTAAGAATTATGAATTTATGTACGATGTTCTATCTTATTTTACATATTAAAAAAGACGAGTGCTCAAAAGGCAGCCAATTCTAATTTATAGCTATTTACAACAGTGGCTGTGAAAGTCTAAATTTGAAAATTTACGTAAATTCTTTTTAGAACATAAATTTTATTTTCAAGATGAATTTGTAGAGATATTATAAATTTCGAATGCATTTTAAATTAAAAATTGAATTTTAAAATGCACCATAAAGCTCTAATTGATATATGTACAAGTAAAAGGATAACTTTATCATTTGAGATAGATCGCAAAGATATTTATATAGAGAGAAATTTATAGTTTAAAGTGTCACTTTTTGTGTTAGAAACTGGCTCATGTTATTAAAATTATACACAAATTCTTACAAATGTAAGTAATTTTTAAAATAATATAAATTACAATACAAGCATTACAAGAAAGAATAATAAAATTTTTACTATTTTTAAATTTCTATTATTGCCATATAAAATTTTTTCATTAAATAAAAAAACTGCTCAATAAATTGTATGATACAATTTTTTCATTAGTAACTTTAAAAAGAAAGAAATCATATTCCTCCAAAATATCAACCAAATAAGCATATAATTTATTACATGAAATATAACCCTGTCATTGCTTAAAACATATCAATCAAGCATTGCTAGCATATAATAGTGCTCAATCATTACAAATATTCAGACAAACATACACGCAACACTAGCTTACAATCACTTTTTGTTTATACATGGAAAAATTGTAGCGCCAAAAAAATATGGCATACTCTGCAGGTTTTCAAAACATAAAACACTTGCATACGTGGACGAATACATACACATGAAGGTAAAAAAATACGTTTTATTCTAACGATGACAGCTTTAGCGATTGCTATGTTCCTGCAATGTCTGGTATAGTACAGCTCACAGAGTAACTAGGGAAATATAACAACTGACTAACAACATCTTGTGTAAATGTTTAAGCGAAAAGAAATCATTGATTACGAAAACGATTATGTTAGAAAGAAAAAAGTTTCCTTTTTTTTTACACAGGGTGTACTTTTTTTTAATATTTGGTCTATGAAGCATTTTTATAAAGAAAAAAAATTACACATTATATTTTTTAAGCCTCTAAAATATTTCATTTAATTGATTTTGCTTGATTAGTGATTAGATTTAATTATTAAATAACAGGAATTAAATAAAGATTCAATTAAGAAGGAATTTCTGTTTTGTGATGTTGATATGCATATTACACATTTAATTTAGTTATGAACTACAGTTTAGTTATTTAAAGAGGTAAGAAATTTAGTTTAGTTATCAACATTTACACTGAATCATCAATAAGGAAAAAATATGCATTTTATAAAATAAAAAAACAAACAAATTGTTTTATATTTATGTTTTAGCCTGAAAAAATCACATCGAAAATTATGCACATTGAAACAAAAACAATTTAAGAGCATGTAAAAAAAATTTTCTTTTCACCTAAATTTCACAAAGATGATGTTTTTAATCACCTGAAACATCAATATAATAGACATATTTTTACACAGTGAACCCAGACCAAACCTATGCAAATTGATCCCAGGTGTAATCCTTCTTTATTTCATTCGTACAATATCACACGAACTGTTTTGATTTCGCTGACACGGTTTTATTCGAGTGGTCTCTGAGAAATTTCAATCACAAATACGAGTATAGTATAAAATTTAAATAGCATCTCCCGACTTAATGTACTTGAAACGCAATGAGAACTCAATATGGAAAGTCCTTTTGAAAATCTTGTTCCTAAAATCTGGTATTTATGTTAATTTGTAAAAAGTGTAATTTATACAAAAAAATTTACAAAATCAATTTTTCTGATTATTCACAATATTTAATTTTAGATACTTGGTAAATTATTTATTATATGTGAAAAATAACCACACAATTAATTTTTTTAAATTAATATATAAATAAAGGAAAAGATAGGTCATAACGGTAAACAATCTTTCACAGGTTGTGCTATGAGAAGAATTGCTTTTTAATTACGCATTGAAGCTTGCAGGTATTAGTGAATAGCTTTGCAAGATATAAAGCCGTTATTGAAGTAAAACTTAAACAATCCGTATTCAAACAAAACTTAAAACAATGCAGATCTGAAAGAGTATTGTTCACATAACATATCTATGATGAGCGGATCTTTTCTGAAAGCACTCCTTTTTGCGGATATAATTGTGTGAGCTGATGAAAAAATTATATCCTTTATTTTCTGGATTTTAATTAATTTTTTTTGGTTTCTTGTTATTTTAATTTTTATGATTATTTTTAATTTTCCCCCTTTTTTCATTGATCTGTAATTTTTTCCATGTTTTCTCTACATTTCGAACATATTTTATGAGTTCTATTTATTTGCAGCTTATGCGCAGCAAATAAAACTTATTGTTTTTCTTAATTTTTCTTCGTATTTTTTTTATTGAATTGAATTATTATTGATTATTTTTTTTATAATTTTTTTATTGAACAAAGCTGAATTATGAGTCTGTAGAAGTGCTTAATATATTTTTTTTAAAAAGAAAATAATACATTCGCAGAATTCCGTCCCTGCTTTACCAATAAAACCGTAAATTTGAAATCAACTGTCCGATACTCATTCATTCTTAACTCTTTTCCTTTTAACATCACAGGTAACCATCAGGCACGGATCATGTTTATAAGTGGAAGAACTTTATTTAGAGTGCCAATGACTTTAATAATTCCAAATAACTACAATATTCTACAAATCACCAGGCATTAATTAAACAATTATGTGACTAGATTAGCAATTTTTTTAATCATAATTATCGATTAGAAAAATTTACCCAACATTCATATTTTCTTGTGTAAAGGAATATTTGAACCCTGCAAATGAAGTTAAAAACTAAGCAGAGCTTTATGTTTTGTCACGGAAAGTGGCTACTTAGGACTCTCTGGTACTCTAATAAAGCAATTATATTTATTTTTCTACGCAAATTCATTTGATTAATTTCGATTTTTATGATTATATTAAAAATTTAAAAATATAAAAAAAACGAGATTTAGTTAACATATTTAAACAAGTCTCAGAAATATTTTATAATTTTAACTAAGAGAAAGAATAAATTTGAAATCAATGAGCAACAAATACATATTAAATGCACTGTCTTACTTTATCGACACGAATCTTACACGGAGAAAAATATTCAGGTAAAATTACCGTACTGTATGATAATGACGTTTCTGGTAAAGAAAACCATAATTTTGGTTAATGAAACCAAAATATACGGTATTTAAACCATTCATTTGGTAATATTTCTATTCATATGGTAACAGTTTACCTGGAAATTCTTGTTTTCAAAACTTTAGTTCTTATTACCACACATTTAGCGAAAAAAACAAATGTGAAAAGCAAATTTAACCGAATCAATGGTTTTTATGCCCTGATCGCAGGTATCATGTTGAAATTACCACATTTTACAGTATTGGCCAAATTTTATTACATAGTATCGAACCATAGTTTATTGTTAATTTTACCGAAACCATTATCAAAGCTTCTCGATGAAAATTATCAACCTTTTTGGTGTTTCCCATGGAGTCAGAAGCACGGTAAATTTTACCATATTCTGGTAGTTTCGACCATACTTTTTTTCTCAGTGTAGAGAGCCTAAGTAAAAAAGACTAAAAAGAATCAAATTTACAATCAATATTTCAATATTGATTTGCCTTTTTTGCATTAAAAAATGAGGATAATACCACACGAAAATTTTTGAATTATTGAGTTAATTATTGAAAAGTATGTTAAATATTGAAAATTATGTTAAATATAAAAAATATGCATGATTAAGAAGAATTTTATAGACAACTTTAAACTATATTCTACATGAAAGTTCAAATTGCATTGGTCCACGAAATGTATAAGGAAACATAAACAAATTATACGTATAAGCATTAATATCACTAGTGACAAAAATATCAAACAGCATTTTCATATTGCATTTGTTTTCACCTGAAAATGCTTTCAAAGTGCAATAATTATAAGATCACATGTAGTGACACAAACAAAATATAAGTCAAAAATCTTAATAAATGTTCTCACTAAATCAGATCTTTCTTTTTCACTATAAATACAATTATGTACAATGATTACAACTTATATAAACTGTATCTTCGGTACAGAGCAGTTCCATAATATGCATTCTTCTTTTTGAAAGCCAAAGGTTTCGCCGAAGCTTCGAATTCTGCCAGGTGCAACAAAAGGATTTATATATTGCACTAGCCACGAATATTTTACCGAGTGCAAAAAAGTCTGAGCAAAATGAAGCTTCAGGAAATATGTTTTTTTAACATTCATCTTGCATGTTAAAAAGTATTGGATGGTAGTTAGCTTGTCAGTACATACATCTGTTTATGGAGCTCTCTTGGCGAATTTTGGCGCCAAACATTTCTCTTGTGAGAAAAATGACGTTAGGTCACATCAGCGTTGGTGAATATAATTCGAATCGCACCAGTGGAACGCTTCATTCCATGGCTAATAATATTAAGGTGTAAACTTAATTTATAAAAAGAAGCCACGTCTTTAAATAACAAAGACTTATTTTATAAAAATTGTGGACAAAATAAAATAGAATTCCAGTTCTTCATTGCTATTTGGAAAAATACATTTTGCTACCTTCGTCTGTGTGTCCTTTTTTGATTTAATAGTGTCCTAAGTTTTTGCAAGTTGTTTTGAGTAATAGGATCATCTGGTTTTAGTTTAAGGGCTTCTAAATAGGCATTTTCAGCTTCTGAAAGTTTTCCATTAACATGTAGCATAGCTCCTAAATTAATGTGACTGGTCACCTCCTGCAAGTAAGAAAGAAATGCTCCAATTAAAACTAAATTTATATTATTTAAGAATTAAACAAGACTGTTGCACAAGAATGATTTTATTTATGAAGAAAATGTGAAAAATATATTAGAAAGTGTAAATAAATTTATGAAATATTTGAGCATAAAATGTACTTTTTTTGCACTTACACATTTGAAACTCTTATAACATTTAAACTGTTAGTGAACTGACGCGTTTCTATCGATTGCATAAAAAATAGATGTATACCTCACTTGTCTGGATAGCAATGTCAGACGCATCATTATGAATGAGTCAGAAATTACTTTTTTTTCTATAAAACTTAACTTCTTACTTATCAGATATAGTGACTTGAGTGCTATTTCATTCAATTCAACATAAAAAATTACATCGATATTACAATTACATTACATTATTTGCCTAGATATCAGTAAGTTGCCTCCCCCCTCATCGGCTATCAAGGATCGAAATGACTCTATAACTGCTTTCTTGAATACAAGTTCACAGTATAATTATCATTTTATGGTTTTCAAAAATGTGTGTAAAATTGCTAGCAATTTTAAATTCATTCTAACCTCTGAATGAGAATGCCTTTCTGTTTCATCAAATTCCGCAGCTTTTGCAAGTTGTTCTCAGTCATTTGGTCATTCGGTCTTAGTTTAAGCGCTTCTAAGTAGGCATTTTCCGCTTCAACAAGTTTGCCATTAACGTGAAGCATTGCGCCAAGGTTCATGTGGCTCGCCACCTCCTGTAAAACAGGAAAATGCTTTTCTCATAAACTGTTGCTGTGGATATTTTATAGAGAGAGATGGTTAGGATTAAAAAAAATTGCTAGCAACTTTTCATAGATATTTAATTATACCTTAAAACCTTATTTATAATTAATGAATAAGTAACTATATTTTCATAATAGCTTTAAATATTTAATTTAATTGAAGATTAAAGATAAATTGGGTCACAAAATTTGAAAGTTAGAACAGCTATAAAATAAAAATTCAAAATTTTTTTTACAATACAGTTATTAAAATGCCAAAAAAAGAAAGAGAAAAAATTTAAAGAATATAATGGAAATAAAAAGTTATCGTGATATGAATTTTATGAATACAGTTGTGTATTAACAACTTGTTTTTTAAAATTTCTTTATTCGAATAAACATGTAAGAAATAATAATGCGAAGAATGTAAATTTGAAAAATTCTTAAGATCATATGATCATATCAATAAAATATTTGAGAAATATACTATATAATATTTGCCTTTGATCTTGAATGGAGATAATTTTTATTGGTAATTGAAAGCATTGTCTATCATTAGGTATTTAAAACCACTTCCGTAAACAGTGTAACTAAAAGGAGACTACTTCTATAAACTTACTACAACGGTACCTTTAAAAATGGATATTTTGAATAAAGCATGAAGTTATTTAAAACAATCTTTAATTAAAAACAAATAAGATTTGAATAGTTTTAAATTTATCGAATTTACAATAATAACTGGAGGATCATGATTTGTCAACAATGCTTTTAAGGTGAATCATAAAAAACAAATAAATAAAAATATGTTTCGAACAGTGTTTAGACTTGGAATCAATATAAATTTCGCATAGCATACTTACTTGAGGTCTTAGTTTTACAGCGATTTGATAATAATGTTCAGCATCTTCATTTCGACCAGCTTGTCTGCAAAAGTTAACATTTCATATTTTATTTTCTAAACGATTCTAAGAATTTATAATTTGTTATTAAATTTGTAATTGAGTTTATAATGAAAATTGTCAACGAAACGAACTTATTTGTCAGAAAACTTGTTTGAAAAATTAAAATATTGACTTTATGCAGAAAAGTAAGATACTGGGGATTTTAAATAACACTAGAAAAAAAATGTCTTCCAATTTTCTGTTGCATGAGATTTTTGAACAAAATCTGAGATACCTATGTATCGCAATAGAAAAACTAATTTCATATTTGAAATTCCCACATCCGATCTAGGTAATATCAAGTATTTGTATAAACGTAAAAAAAAATTTGCCTTCCAGTGTAATCTTTAACATGTTAAATGTATTTGAAAAGAATTTGGAAAATTCAAATATTAACTGGAGTAAAAAAAAAGGATGCCAAAAAACAACATTCATAGAAGTCTTAATAAGGTATAAGTTTTAAATTTAAATAAAATGTTTAAATAGAGATTACGAGAAATTCCGAATTTTGCATCAGCAAAATTTCGGTAGCAAGTAATGTACAAAAACTAATAAAGTACAATAAAAAAAAAGATTTTTTTTAAATAAAATATTCTACATTGTCTTAAATTTTAGAAAATTTAATCTGACTTTAATTATACTTCGGAAAACATTTGGGCTAAAAAAAAATACTTTCTAGCATTTCGAAGCTTAATAATGTTTAAAATAAAACTATTTGGTACTAAGAAAAGATCAATTTAAATTTGTCTTGAAACATACTATAACAGAAATGAGAATATATTCTTATTCTTTAAAAAATGTTTGAACTAAAACTGAATATATATATATCAGTTACCTGAGGGTATTAGCAGCATTGAAAATTATTTCGTATTCATCAGGAGCCAACTCTGCAGCTCTCAAGTACACCTCTGCTGCCTCTAGATGGCGCTCACTTTCGGATAGAAATTGACCTACAAGCGAAAGAAAAATTATTCAGCTGTAAAGAATTATTTGTTTGTTTTCGAAAAGCTTTGACATTTTGGAACATTTCGTATTCTTTATTTACCTATTTATTTCTTTTCCGAATTTTTTACAATGATATAGGATATAATTTATGAAATATGTTGAGGTTGTTTTGCTTTAATTTGTATAAAACTATATCAACTCCACTCGCGTTTATTTTAAAATGTTTGTTTCAAAAGATAATTTTATTTTTCCGAATTCTATATGTTTGGTTTTATTTGAATGATAAAAATTTATATTTATTAAAAGTTATATTTTGCGGGGAATTATCTTTGGATAAACGAATTCTATAGTTGTATACAAAAAATTTTCAATTCGCTTAACAAGTTCAGGAGACATAGAGAAATACGCGAGAAAAAAAAATTAGCATTGAGTGGTTCAAACTTTGGACCGCTCTCCTGACCAAACTATGGAAACCATATTTTCCGGATTTCGGCTACCCCCTAAATCGGGGTCGAAAATCCGAATCAGTTGAGAGAAAAAAAGTTATGTTTACTCAGAAAAAGTCGTTTTTGTTTCTGATTTCGTAACTTGAAATATCGTTTGCACTATTTAATTAGTGCAAACGATAATTAGATTGAGTCCTAGAACGCGAAAATTCAATCATTAGATCAAAAGTTATTGCGGATGGTCCGTTTTTTTAATTTTTATTTCTCGCACTATACATGAAAATAAGTATTTTAAACTATGTCATTTCTCCATAGCAAACTAATTGTTACTACTGGACTTGACAGTTCACAGTCTATATCGTGAACTGAAATGATTTATTGCAACGGATTAATAACCATGTTTTTTCTTAAATAGTTGACTGACGACGTTATAATATTCTTCAAAATTATACATTCTTTAGAAATTCTGCGTGTTTGGAATATAAAAAGAAAATATATAGAAAATATTTACCATAGTGTTGGTAGACGCTTGAATCATTGGGAGCAATAACCTTTGCTTTCAAAAACCATTGCTCAGCTTCTCTCTGACGTCCCTGAAATTAAATAACATTTTATAAGATACACAAAGACATATTCATTCAACAAGGCAATAAAAACTTTTAAGTAAGGTTGTTCGTTTTTTTCGTAATGTGCCATTTGCGGGTTAAGTCGATTTCAAAAATATCTTTATAAACAATCATAGTAGTACTTTTAATTGTGGCTAAACTTCTGCAAGTAAAGTTAAGGTTTATATAGTTTGTGTTAGTTCATATTTATTTTTATAAATAGTATTCGCTAAATTCAATAGATACAGTAACTAATATAGTTTTTAAGTTTGAATTGGAATTATCATTTGCTTAAAAATCTATTTTAACTTAATATATAGTATGACGAAACGTTTCTTACTTTTTATAATAAACAAAATCATTTAAATATATATATATACCTTAACCTATATTTCAAGTAATAATAAATAACTTGTTACAAAAACAAATATAATATTTATTTCATTAAAAAAAAAGATTAAAAAAAGTTTCTTTCCCTAATTGATGCATGCACAATAACATGCGCTCAAATGTATAGAAGCTTTATTAGAAACATGATAATTTACTGTTTGAATATCAAACCCTAAAATAAACTTTAAAAACGAAAAGAAATGAATTATGTGATTTAATAAAATCAAATTATTTTAGCTATTCGTAATTCTTATTATTTGCTGTCAACTATATCAACATAAATTGCTTCATAAATACTAACCCATTTCGATAAAAGCTTTGCATAAGTAAGATGGGCCGGTATATGATCTGCTTTCGCACGCAAAGCCTGTTGATACCATCGTTCGGCTTCTTCAAATTGCTTAAGTTTGAAAAACGCCTCGCCTGCAATAAAATGAATTGAATTATAATTCAGTGACAAGAGAAAGTATTTGTATTGATAACACACATTCAACAATACTTTAATGCAAATCTAAGATTATCATAATCAAGCCGAAGTCCTCGTTAACAGAGACAGTGTATCGTACAATGCGAAAACAATCATAGTGGAATAGATTTAATAAGTGATATTAATTCAGTTCATAAGAATCAGTAGCTCAGGTCAGTTGATTCAAACAGCCTAAATTAATGCATTTTATTTTATTTAAATGCTTTGATAATTGTTGGGTTTAATAGACGGATAGATTTAGTGACACTTTAAAAATATTAAGTTTTTCAAATCAGAGACCAAAAACTACTAGTTAAAGCACTGGGACTAACTCGCTATTATGGCGGACTTTTTGATGGAATAAACTCGCACTTGTGTGAGATTTTATTTTTTAAAAAAAAAATTTGAAATTTTATAACCAACGTTGAACAGCCGACCCAATTCTGAGTTTGCGACTATCAATACTCAACTCCGTGTCCTTGTAATTTTAAACCCAACCCAGAAGACAAGGAAATCCTTGAATCAAAAGCACTGGAACAAACTAACTTTCGTGGAGAACAGTTTGATGGAACTAATCCTCATTTATGTTACATGGAGAGGTGGGAAATCCTGAGAACCAGATGGCAAAAGGTTCGAACCCATGAATCGGCACTATGATTTGTGCGAGAGAAGTACAACATACCAAATTGAAAAACTATCACTAGGATTCAAACTCGGATCGATTCATTGAGAGCTAAGCACATTATAAAAACTGAGTCTACCTGGATTAAATGTTTTTTTACAAATACAGAACACAAATTTATTTCGCTCAGTTTCACAATTAGGATTGTGCCAGGGAATTACATATTTTTTTAACAGTGCCCAAAGCTTTTCCGCTTTTCATACTTTATTTGTTGTTCATAATTTTTTTGTCTAAATTATAACTGAGTAATGAAATGGAGATTCAAATCATACGAATCAATTAAGCACTAAATTGAATCACAGATTCAACTCATGGTTCGAATTTCTTTTAAAAAAATGATTCCTTATATTCTAATCACTTTGTTAATAACTTTGGAGATTCGACGATAATTTCAATAGATACTTTAAAACACGCAACCAATTGGAATCAATCTAACTACTATCGATGGAATATCTTCGTTGTAGAACGATAGAGGGTAAACGTAAAACACGAGTAAGCTCATACCTTATTCATTTATTCGCACTCTGAGACTTACCATCTCACAAAAGGTGAAGTCTACGCAACGAGGATGAGCATAAATTTCTGCTCACAAATGCAGTGTTTTCTGACAAAGAACTTCTCAAGGGAATTTGTCCACGTACATGAGACGTAACATCTTTCACTCTGAGTGTTTTGCATAAAAGTTTTACGAACAATCTCTTCAATTACATCTCTAGAGTAATATTTTGAAAATTCGTCGTTTGTATCAGAGCGAATTTGTAGGCATTACATACTAATCTGATGCACAAAGTTTCAATTTATCTATTATAATAGATGCATGTTTGACACCTTACTATAACTAGGTAATTCAGTTGGTTAAAAATTAATTCAAAACGTTAATCAGAGAGTATGACTGAAACTTAAAAGTGATGGACAAAAAATCCATTATCCAAAAAGCGAAAAAGAGTATGGTAAAAATTACCAGAATTTATCGGGTTTCTGGCTCTATGGGATCACCAAAAACTCGGTAATTTTTAACAAATCGTCTTGATAATTATTTTGGTGAAATTAACAATATAATCTGATTTTATAACGTGTGATGAAATTTGGTAAACTTGGTAAAATTTGGTAATGTTATCATGATGGCTTGAAAACAATATATTTCATTAAATTAACTTTTCTGTTTTTTATTTTTTTCTAAATGACTGGTAATAAAAACTATAATTTTGAAACCAAAATTTCCAGTAATCCGATACCATGTTAACGGAAAAATCGGCAAATGAATGGTTTAAAGACATATATTTTGGTTTATTATCAAAATTATTTTTTTTAAAAACTTGAAATGTCATTATTATGGTTTTTTAATATGTGATAGATATATTATTTCAAACAGTAATTTTATCAGAATATTTCTTATCCCTATAAAATGCATAAAAGTTCTTGATATTATTTTTTCAAGAATTATAAAAATATTGCTTTTAAAATTTCGAATTCTAAACAGGAATTTGGTCTTGTAAGATATAGTTTGTTATATTTTAAATAATTTCTCTGATAAAGTGATATGTAATTAGATTGATAAAAAGTAATTTTTATAAATATTTATAAACTTTTTGAAAACAATAATAAACATTTAACTTATCCTTTAAAAGATTTTAAATATTGAAAGGTGACACATTTTATCATGCAAGTAACATAAATGATAAAAATTAAATCGTATGTTATCAAAAATTTTCCTTACTTACCCATCATATTATACAAAGACTGGGGTTGATAATGATGCGGCATTTTGTGAACAGCTTCCTGATAAACTTGAATTGCTTGCTAAAAATGCAAATAAAAAAATATATTATTTCAAAATTTTTAAACTCTGTTTCATAAGCAATTTAAATACTCGATATTTGCATTCAATAGATTATTCTTTGTTTGAAATATAATGATTTCAGTTGCATTAAGGCTAACATCAGTTACCATAAGTTTGTGTGAAAAATATGGTATCAAAAAAACTGTTTATTTAATTAATGTAGTTTTATTAATAAAAATACTTTTTTCTAGTAAGTTAAATGCAAAATTCTTTATACTAAGTTTTTATAGTAATTTCTTATAGTAGTTCGTCCACGATTCAATAATTTTGAATTTCTGTTTATATATATTTTAATTTTTCAAGTACAAAACCGGGATCTCGGGAATATTTTAAAGAAATATAAAATAGTCAAAATAAGAAAAGGGCGATTAGTTTCGAGTTTATAATAAGCAGTATTTTTTTTAAATAAAAATAATGTAGTTTGTAAAATTATCCAACTATGTTTAAAAAATGAATAACAGTCTGTTTAAATCAGGGGTCACCAAAGTAGTCTATGTGGACCCCTTGGGGGTCAATATGGCATAATTAGGGGTCGATGAATAAATACCAGCCAATGTCATTCAATCGCAAAGATTTTAAAAATTAACCGATGATTTTACGCTATGCTTTGTAGATATTGAAAATACGGATATCTCTGCACCACTTTCTGTTCAATTTGAAAGCATCGAGAGTCATTTGCAATATTAAGTCAGTTAATTAGTAGTTGACTTTAAAGTAATGATGCTTTTCAATAGTTTAACTGTTAGTAAATTTTTAGATAAATATTGTCACGCAAAAATATCCAAAACTTTGTATATTTTCCCTTTTCCCATCGGCATTTTAATAGCATACTGGCTTCAGTAATATTAATTTTATTTTAAAGAGGCGGAGAAAAATTTGGATGTGGAGCTAAGTGATTTAAAACTGAAAATAACAAATTTCGAACCAAACATAGCTTTGCTAATCTATCCAAACTTCATCAAACACGTACTTCTCATTGATTTGCGTAAAAATGTGATTTTGGGAAAATAAAATAAAAGATTTAAAAGACATGTAATTTCTTTATCTTAGTTTATAGAAGGGTTTGATAAGATAATTATAACATTTTTGGGGGTTGATGATCGAAAAAGTTTGGTGTCCCCTTATTTAAATCATAAGTCGTATAAAGATCTACAAATAAAAATTTTGGCATATTTCTCCGTATTTTTCAACGCAAACTTGAGTATATTTGCTAGATATTCAAATGTGCGAAATAATATGTGTCAAAAAATATTTTTATCATTATTTACACAATTTCATAATTTTCGAATTCAATTAAATGTATAGGCTGTGTAATTTTGTGACAAATTCAAATATCGATAAAATGAACACTATAACATGTCGACATTAAACTATACATTTAATCATACTTTATAAACATTTAATCAATTAAAACAATTTATTTGATAACATAGCTATTGCTTCGTTTAAATACGCATGTAAGGATTAAATTTATCATTGAATCCGATTAGTTGAAATAAATTTTAATTATAAAAAGAAAATATTTCTTAATATTTTCTTTTTATAATTTAATATATTATGATAATTACAATTATATAATAATTTTAATAATAATAATATATTAAATTATGATAATTAANTAATTATGTATACATTTATTTTACAGAATTTTTTATCATTCATATTTTAAAGTTATTCTTGTTACATTAAGTTAAAAAGGGAAAAATTAAATAATGATTAATTAAATATTTTGAGATTTTTACTATGTTTTTGTAATTCTTACTTGTTTTAGATTTGTTCAGATTTGTTGTTTTCTTGTTTTATTGTTTTCTTGTTTAGATTTGTTGTTTGATTGATTTAGATTTAGATTTGTTCTTTAAAATTGCTCTTTTTATTTCAATTTATTGAAAAATATTACCTTATATGAACCATCGTCAGCGTACAGTCTACCTAAGTTGAAGAGAGCTGATATTTTTGTTGTCTCGTGCATTTTCGGATCTTTCAACCCACTGCTATCTAATTCAGCACAATGTCGGTATACCTAAACAAGAAATAAGAATTAATCAATAACTACATTTTATTTTTAAAAAGAAAAGACACATAGAATAACCCTTAATATCATAAAACAAATGTAAACGTAAAAGTAAGCATCATAAATTGCAGAAAAACCACGTGAAGAAAAACAATGCAGAAAAACATTTACTTAATATTTCTCGAAATGCTTGTTTCATAATCAATAAAACAAGCTTCAATATGTAAAGTTGCATAGCGAGTTTTAGTTACATAGGAGTTTATAAACATTTCGAAAAGCAACAACAGGCAGTACGGGGAAAAGTAAAAATTTGTTTTCCAGTAATACTTTAATAGTAATAGATTTCGAAATAATTGATTAAAATTTGCAAGAAAATAGAACAAATTTTATGAATAGAATTGTTATCAAAACGTATTCATAATTTTGTAATCGGTTCTAAAATACATTGATCTAATGGAAACTTAGTTTATAAGTTCAAAGAATAAAAACTTACTTCAGCAGCTTCTTCTTTTCTTCCTAAAATTCCCAGAACCAAACCCAAATTCAAATGAGCCACTAAAAAAAACAAAAAAAAAAAAAACAAGGTTAAACATTTTATAAAAAAAAATTAAAATTTTCAACTGTTTGTATAATTTTTATCATTTTTATTACAATAATTTGTTAAAATTGAGAACTTGCAACCCAAAAAGATGTGAAGTGATTATGCCTAACCATGTAATTTAAATCAGGTTTAATTGGATACCTGTAACTGACGTCACGTGCGTCTATGGAATCTGAGCCTAGTTTCTGAATCCACAAATGTCACGACTTACCAACGATGACGTCACTTGCAGGCATCCAATAGTTTCTTACGTACATATTAAAAATTATGATTATAATTTTACAATTTTACAAATATGCTTATTGTAAGATACAGTTTAAAATTAAACTTTAAAAAAAATATTATTTTGCTAATTTTTTAAAACAACTGATCGATGATATAAAAATAAATGTTTTTCGTGAATTTATTAATTGCAATGAAACAATTTTTTATTTAAATTCAATCAAATTAGTATAAATGTATGAAATAGAGTCAACCAAAGAAGTTTTTTTCCCCAATTTTTATTTTTTAAGTTTTCTTTAACAGTTATGAAAAAAAACTCATCAAATCCTTTAAATATTCGCTCAGAGCATTTCTCGGGAAATTGTTTTGTCTGAAACGAGGAAAGTTTCGAGAGTTTTGAGTGCCTGATTTTTACAGTGTCTACATGCGATTTCGATCCATAAGGCGAAGAAAATAACACACAACAAATTATCACCTATGCCACACATGAATCATGTAAACTAAAAAATTTAAAAATAAATGACACACCAAGAAAAATATATTCCATCGAGAGAAACAAAATCGAAGGATACGTTGCCCATAACCCTTCCAACAATCTATACTTCTCTTGCAGCTTTTAATAACCAAATCAATTTCAAGCCATATTTTATCCATCTAAAACATTACCCTTTCCCACAGTTCTCAGCGAAAACCTCGCAATATTTTGCAGCCATAAAAAGGGTAAAATGAAGTCCCCAAGCCCTTATCACCAATTCAGCATTTCCTTATTTTTTAAGAGTCCCAGAGTTGTATACTTTTTTTTTACGATATCTGCAAACTGAAGGCGATGGACATACCATCAGGGAAAACACTAGGGACCGTAATAAAAATATTCTTCAGTAGTAATTACGGGTTAGAAGTGGTCCGTAGAGGGCAGAACATTATGAGAGACCAGCGTTCAAATTTCGGTGTTTTATGAGGCATAAAAAGTATTGCTTCAAGGATCGTAAAAAGACAACCTATTCTGTAGGCAAAAACACATTTTGTGATACTCCTTATCTGTTTTCTTTTTTAGAAATAGCCTATTTCGAGAACACTTTTAAAATAAATAGTTTTCAAAAACAAAGACTGTTATATAGCATCCTACTGTAATTATAAAAGATATTTAATGAAAAGTTCGTAAATAGATACAGAAATATATTTCAAGTATCATGTTTCTAAATAACACATTGATTTTCATAGATTACTTGTTGAAATGTCTATTTGTATTGTTTTGTAAAACATTTATAAAAATTTAAAAAGCAGTCATTCTGAATTCATGAAATTTTCTTCGTTTTTGTCGAAACCGTTCGAAACCGAAAGAAATGATCCTAGAGAATAATTCGTCTCATTGAGAAAATTACGATTTTCACTTGTTTGAGAATGTTAATTTCGTCAAAATAACTAAGCTTAATGATACATATCGATCAAGAAATACAAAGTAAAATAAAAGAAATATTAGTGAATGAGTTTACCACGGATTGAATACGAGCACCGTAAGCATTTTTAAAACAAGATTAAAAAAAGGTTTAATAACTTCCCGAGAGTACAGAGATGAGACACGAGTGAGAAAGTAGTTTCGTCAAGGATTTAAGATTTCATGTTTCGTCAAAATTCATGTGATTTTGTTTCCAAATAATGATTAAAAAAAAGAAACAAAATAAAGCTAAAGGATTGCTAAACTATTTAAAATATGGATTTTTATTTCTGAAATAAGAAAAATATGATCTTAGAAATGTGTTTAACATTAATGTGGATCCTCAAGTTTCAGTTTAAGCAGTTTTCTTTCTGAAATATATGACAAGTCACCTTTCTGTCAGATTATTTGGTCTCAACTAAAAAAACTATTTCATAAATTATGAAAATTGTATTAAAAAGTAAATTTTTGATATAATATACTATATAAAAAAACTATTAAAAAAGCTAATATAAAAATACTTTTTTATAATACTGGGAAGAACTTAGACCTAATTAATTAGGTTTAAAATAAATCATGTAGATAAAACAAAAGCAAAACATATAACATAAATAGAGAGAGTTTTAAATTGAAATTTAAAATGAAATTTTCTCGGTTCATGCAATATATTTATTTTATCCAAAAAGGAGACTACGTGATAAGATGAATTGTTTTGCTAATATATATATACATATAATCAAGTATTAAATTCCTTTGTGTTACAAAGTATAACAGCGGTTGCATACTTGCAAGTCTGGGACGGAATTGTATTGCTAATTTATAGCTGATTAAGGCCTCTTCATATCTCCCTTGTTCTTGCTGAAGTATTCCTCTGTAAAAGAAAAGAACATGCTGATTAGAGTGTTAGTTTTCTCATTTCAACAATCATGAAATTACAAATATCACAACAGAATCTATAAAAATAATAGATTTTCAAAAACAATTGATGCTTTTTTTCTACATGAAAAAAACATGCATCATTTAGTCAATAAGTCCAACGTTTCTATTGTTTTAGCGTTGCATTTAATTTAATCTCAACTGCTACTATTATATTATTTCTAAAGAGAATGCTATTAATAATTAGTTAAATTTAAGTAAGTAGAAAAATATAGCTTCGTTTTTTGCATTCTTTATTGTGTTGTTTTGTAATCAGATAAATCTCTTTTTCCCCAGAAAAAGCTAAAGTATTGTTTAGTTTTATTTCAATAACAAAATGTATTATTTTAATAACAAATAGTACGATTGTAGAGTGCAAAATTAACCTTTTTATGCGAAAACAATATAGTTTCATAAATGTATTGTTACGTATTATTTAGAATTAAAAAATTAATTTAATTGTAATTATAAGCTCTAATGTTATCATATTAATTATTTTCCATTGAATTATTCTGTTTCAAATTTTGATAACAAATTATAAAACAATAAAAGTTGGATGCGTTAATTGAAATCAAAGTGATTTCGTAAGTAGACTGTTATAAAAATTTTAATTTACACTGAACTCATAAATTAATTGAAATTTTAAGTTTTATCATTATCAATGAAATTAACTATAATAAATTGCATAAGAATGATAAAAGCTCGATATATTTTGAAATTTTAGTAAAATTATCTATAGTGACTCGTCTTTCTTTCATATTAAGTCAGATATTTATTTGTGTTTAATGAAAATATTAAAATTTATTACAATGTAGTTAAAGACATATACAGTCTTGGCTTGTAGTAGGCATTTGAAGAAGAAGATATATACTCACAAGTTGTAATGAACATCAGCCATATTAGATCGATAGGATAGAGCTTTCTTGTAAGCCCATTCGGCTTCAGATTTCTTTCCCTGAGCGCTCAGAATGTTCGCTAAATTCCCATACGCTAAAACAGAAACAGGAAAATTTATTAAAATCACTAAAAACATTTAATAAAAGCTTTGTTATTTAAAATTATTTAGCAATCACTTTTCTGTATAAAAAGTTTAATTCTTTTCAGTCTTCAAATAATCACACTTCAAAAATGCTAAGTAATCGATAATTTTTTTGTTATAATTCAATCGAACATTCTTGTTTATAAGAGTTTTTAATATAATGTTGAGGTGAATATTTATGTTATTTTACATGACTTTTTTGTCCTTGCAAACTTACTTCTTTTTATTTTACATTCAATTTAAAAGCAATATTTAAAGATCAACATTCTCAGTAAACTCACACAGACTCAATAGATGGTGTACATCAACTAACTATTTCGCGCAGAATTTATTGTTAGAATTCAATTTTATGAAAGTTTAATAATTTCTTTTTGTTATTTTTTTTTTAAGATTTAGAGATAAAAAAAAAATACCATAAAAGAATGTTTAGACACATTCCTTTATGATATTATAAAAAAAATACCAAAAAGGAATGCTTAACATGAAAATTAAACTCAATTTTTAATTAAAAAATACTATTAGTAGAACATGCTCAAACATTTTTCCATTTTTCCCATATCTCGTATTTGTAAAAAAATTTATATAAAAATTTCCATTTTTTTGTATGTGCTTTCTTGTAAATTGTCGACAATATTTTTACTTGCATTTGTCAACTAAATCGCCTCATATAGAAAAATAAATCGATATAGCAAAGCAAAATGTTTGATCAAAAAAAAAAAACTTTTTCATACTTCTTCAAACTAAATCCTTATTTATTTGGATATAGAAAGATATTTAAATTATGTTAGCATTCTCTAAGCATGATTTAGCAAATATATTTTTTTCGATAATTAACTTCATAAATAAAACTTTAAAATCTGAAATTTTATTTATCAAGTACAGATTCTTAATAAAGAAAATAAACTTCAAATTTATTTCTTTAATATAAATCTTAAGTTTAACACCTTCTTTTGTAAACTAAAAGTAATATCAAAAAACAAAAATACAAGTATTTAAATCTGTTGAGATTTAGTTCCAAAACAAAAAATACTAATAGCAAATTTTGGATTCGTCACTATTCTTTTTATTTTAAAATGTGAATCCTCACCATCTAAAATCTATTTAAATTGGTTGTCTATAAGTCAGAAACAGGTATATTTTCTTCTAGGCTCATTAGACTAGAATTTCGACGAGCACGTGAAATTGAAATAGTGAAGATAAAGCATTTTATGTTTCTCAATAATTATTTTTATTGTGAAAGTTTCCTATTTTAATGAAGCCGATGGCAACTATACATAAGAAATAAAAAGTTACGAGTGTCTGAAATGTTTTCTATTCGCAAAAAGATTGAAAATCTAAAAAGGCACTCCATAATATTCTAGTTATTTTCAAGAGTTTTTCTATTACTTCCAAGGCAAAATAAAATCATAGTTTCAAATTTATACGCAGTTGACAAAATACGCATTTTCGATATTCGGAACGGAGGTCTTATGGGAGACGAGAGTTCTTTGATTTAAATAAAAATTTGCTTTTCTTTATATTAAACTACAAAAATGTTGAATTATTTCTTTGAAAAGTCTGTATCGTTTACTGATTGTATTCAACACAATTTTCTTTGTGTTAAAAATTCGAAGACTAAACTCTTACATTTCTTAAAGTTTTACGAAACTATAAAATTTTTTGAAAAATATATCTTTTAATAAACAATAATAATTTTTTTTTATCTTTAAATCGAAATTCCCACTAAGAAGGCTATTTTGTAATTTCTTTTTATTTTCAAATAATATTGGCACAGTTAGATTATATATTTATGACAATGATCAATTCATTGAGTACTTTGCCCTTATAGGATATATGTAGACACTGTCTAACCATTTGAACGCATACCGCAATCATTTGTTAACGCTTTTCTATGGAATGACCTGAAACATCTTGAAAATAAACTGATTGAATCTGGTTCGCTTATAACGAAAATCTCATAAACATATCGTAATATAGCTCATAAACCAACTGAATAGTGTATAATGCACTAATAATTTTCCTTTACTTACTTAAGTTTAATTTTAAAAAAACATATAACTCGTTAATCTTGCATTACCCATAATTCTCATAAGAGGAATAGCTTCTACACTATAGCTACTTTCTAACTCCTTAATCAAGTCAGGATTCATCAAAATTACTTTATATTAATATTCGACATAATATTAACCTACATATTGATCAATCGAAGTACGCAATTTAAATACATATTCCTTAAAATACTAAGATATAAACTTTAAATTTCCAAACACATAAGAAATTATAAACTTTTGTGTATAGTCATCGTATGTAAGTATAGACATTAAAAGCTCTTAACTAATGCAATCACATTAAGACGTTTGATTTAATAGTTCCCTTGTCTTTTGGGTTGAGTTCCCATTAACAAAGCTAAAAATATAAGTATATTTTTATTTTATGAATTGTAGCTATAAATCTGCTAATTTAATTTTATAGAAATGGTCATACAATAAAGAGTTCCAAAAATAATAAATGCTTTTACTGAATTTGATATGTATTATAGATAAATACTTACAGATGGAGATAGATACATAAATATTAAGTATAGTTTTTTTTTCTTTTTCTCTTAAATTATAAACTTTATCCCGCTTCTCTTCTAAGGGAAACTTCCATAAAGAATTCCAAGAAGAAAAAAAATCCCTCACCTTAAAAAATGAAAAGTTAATTAAATCCCTTATGACAAAAAATTACGTAAGCGAATGTAAAAAAAATAATCTTTTGGGTAAAAAATTAAAAAAATTTTTGTAAAAGAAATAAATGAAAAAAGAAATAAATAACATGGAAACCACAGCAAGCCATTAAAAGAGTGTACAAAAAAGTGCTCCCCGTTTTTCTCTTTTATCTTTTAAGGAAACGTGCACTCTAAAATCATAACATCTAAGAAATTTCTTCTTCACTCTGGAAGAAATATTCCCTAATAAGTACATTAGGGACTTTTTTTCCCCTTTCAACATTACAATAAAAACAACTTAGTGAACGTTTAAAATTAATGAAGGAGTGTTTTTATTTTCATTCGAGGGAGTTTTTAAGCTTAAGAAAAAATAATATTTAATTTTTACCTTAAGTAGAGTGTGAAATTACCAGCAATGGTGATTATAAATTATTATTTGTAAACAACCTCTTTACACAACCAACATCAAGCAAAATTGCTACATTAAGTAAAGAAGAAATGAAATGAAATTCGTGAAATATCTCAATTTTTTCTTCTTTTTCTTAATATTAAAGGGATAGAGCTCTAAGTTGGACAACTTATCAAACTTATTTTAATATCCCGCGATTATATTTAATGAACTTAGTTACTTGTTTATAGAAACATGATCCAAGGTTATTTTTTTATATACGCCAGTGTTTTTTAAAAAAAATATTGTCTTTTAGTTTCATGTACTACTGATCTAAGGCACTATAAGAAAAATTAGTTTTCATTATCATATATAGTATCAAGTTTTCCTAATCGATGTATAAATTATTTTTGGTGTAAATTAATTTTTTATCAGTAAATATATATATTGAAATGTTACAGTCAAAATACATTTTCTAGCATTTTTCAAACTGATATATGCTTTAGAAAACTTTCTAACGTAACTCATCAAAAAGAATGAATAAATAAATAAACAAATGAAATAAGTAAAACAATATGCAAGGATAAAAAGATTTACAAGTGGCTGCTTACTTCAAGGATTCGCTTTGTAATTTCAATTTTAAACTTGTATTTTTAAACGAAATGAACTTTTATGGGATGAAAATTACTTTACAACAATCGGAACATTTTCATAATATTTATAATCGAAAATATATAAATACAATACATTGTCTAAAATATATATTTATCTTACTTTTTTTCTCTTTTTGTGTGTTTAATGTAATATTCCAGAAACTAAATGTTATAATCTTGTTCTCTTGTGGACCTCTACTGGGAGGCTTAGGACCTTCTGTATTCATAGATCATCGCTTCAACTTCTTTTTTGTACTCTGTGTTTTTTTTCTCTCTCTACGCATGATCACTGTATAGTTAGTTCTACGTATGGTTTGTGTTTATTGCTGTAATTGTCATTTAATTTTGCCGTTAGAAATAATGAAAAAACTAAATGCTAGCAAATTATGGTTCATAGTTAGGTGGGATAAGTTAGTCATTCCTTGAATGTTAGAACTTTTAATTTTCAATAATCATTGGATTTGATGACAGTTTATGTCATTACTCTATCTTGTAATAATTCTGAACAAAGTTAGCAGTATTTTGTTTCTTATCTATTATGGTTTGTTAGATTGTTGCCTCTTCCGGGTACTTAAAATTATTAAATTAGGCAAAATGCATTTTTAAACGTTCAATTCTTTAAAATAAATCTTAACTGTACTTAAGTATCATTCAACACCAAAAAAAGGAGAAGAAAATGCAACGTATTGCAAACAAAATTTGCCACAATTAAAAAAAAATTTCCATTAATTTTTCTTCTTAGTATGCAATTTTTCTTTCAATTTTATATATCGCTGAGTTTTAATTACGTAGTTTTACAGAAACACGTTTCAAAAACGTAACTATAGACTATAAAATATAGTTTCCAATAGCTTTAAAAATACTAATTCGGTAACGTAGCCGTTACATGCCATCCGCGTTGATTCGGGCATAACAGAAAAAATATTTATTTAAGAATGTGTTATAAACTATATTCTGATTAAAAGTTATAAAAGCTAGTAAACATCTCTGGTGTTATTTTTCAGAAAATTGAAAAAACAGAATCGTCTATAGCTTAATTTATAACAATGCCTAATTTTCAATTTATGAGGAAAAATTAGCTTTCCAAACGGCCTTCCCAAACGTAACAGTTGAATTTATTGAATGATTTTTAGTATCGAGGTTAAAATTTTCCCTAGCACCCGCTTTCCAAATCTAAGAACTTAAATACTAATTGTTCTGAAGTTATCAGAGAGACGCATACACAAATTCTTCCTTTTATTGTTATAGATAATGGAGCGTTTGTCCTGTTAATTGTGTGGAGTAAAAAAACCTCCTTCAGTAGTAATGTATTTGCAATGTTTATAAAAATTTTCGTAAGTCAAAATGTTGAAATGCGGGGCATCTCTACGATTATTCACTCGATATAACGAATGCTTAAAACTGAATAATTAGTCAATTTAAATTTTGTCTCAAACGTCTGGTACAGATCTAATTTTGATAATTATCATTTCTGTATCAAATATACATTCACAATGACTTACCTTTAGGGGGATTAATAGGAATTCCTGATCTATATAAATTTTCTTCACTCCACCAGTCTCTATTTCGACGCACTGTTCTCACAGACATAACAAGTAATAGGACTAAAATAATGCCTAAAACTATTCTTTTCTTTAAAAGTCTATCTTGCCTCCTGTACAGTCTGTCAAGTCCAACTGCGACGAGAAGGCAAAAACCCATACTCGGTATATACAGTACTCTTTCGGCCACAACAAAGCCAACATAGAAGAACAAGTTCGTGGCCGGCACGAAAGGAAAGGCCAGAAGACTCACGGCCAATATCACAGCATTCCAGTGGTTGTGCACAGCACTAATATAATTGCAGTCCGTCTTATAGGCTGCTGAGTTAAAGTTTGATGGACATCCATTGGCCACTCCATTACTGTAAGACGACCTGTGATGCCCATTCGTGCAAGAATTATTGTTATTGTTGTTGATCACACAACTATAGTTCTTGCTCCTGCCGTATTGCTTGCCTAGCTGGAGCTTGTTCGTCCACGTGTAGTACGAGGAGCAATTGCAAGAGCTGTGACTGCCGCACAAGGCACAGGACTTTGGTGAAGACAAGGTGCGTGAGATGTGCACGACAAAGTGGAGGACAGTCAGATAGAAACAGGCACTGAAGATGTTCCTTGGGTCTGCGGGGTGAGTCAGCAAGGGTATAGACTCCATGGACCAATCAAAACTGAGCCATCTCGGACACATTAATAACCAGAAGTTGAATGCGGGAAGGTAGAGGAATGTGAGGACTCTGGTGAGCAGGGAATTATTGTCTGAAGCTGGATTGTCCGCTGGAGCAAAATCTGGCGCTTTACTACCCATTAGGTGAACGCGCAGAACAAGCAATGTGGTTGCTGTACCTCCAAGATACATCAGTCCTTCTCGCAGGAAGCTGTATTTTTTCTGAAAACAAAGTATACAATATTGATAAGTATAACCATGTTTTAGTAATCAACTCTAATCACAAATCAGATCAACAACTTTAATCAGAAATTATGTCGTTACATAGCTTGCATATGAGTCAAAATGAAAAATAAATATAAATGCAAAATAAATAATAACGCATAATAAATATAAATATAATTACAATCAATGACTTTAAATGAAATTTCACGAATGTGTGCTGTGTGGTTTATTCAATACTACATATAGATTTTCGTTAATGCCAGTCTTGTCTGGTCAATACCATAAAATTGATATTGAGTTTTAATTATTTCCATTGGGGTACTTACTACTAATCACCTGATTCTGTCTAATCACGTGGTTGAGCATGGCTAGTTCACATTACAGCTTTAAGGCTTGAGCTTATTAAGCACACTGGATTAATTATCGGATCATATTTAACCTGCAAGCGACGTCGCGCATTTGTGTCGAAACTGACTTACGCGTGACATCCCCAATTATCAGCCACTTTTCTAATTAAAAAAACATATCTAGAGAAAAATGGTTGAAATAATTTTTCTAGCTGCAAAAAAAACTGAACATTTCACGAAAAAATTCCACGAAACAATTTCACGAAAAGTGCATTTTTGGCGCAAAATATGTGAACAAATACTTGATTTAAAATATTTTACCCTGATAAAAATAATCTTGCTATCTCTTGCATAACTTAACCCTAACTTAAAATTAGTTGTTCAAAAGTTGATCAAAAAAATTTTATCGTGAAAAGATTAAACTAGTTGCCGGGAAACAAGGTACAGGATTTATATTTCATGTATTCTAATATTAACACTGTATGATTAAAATATATTTAATCTTTTACAATTCCGTATAAAACGCGTAAAAAAATTTATAACGATTACTTTATGTAAACACTTTAATAACAAGCTAAATTAATAGCATTTTTCAATTTCAAGAACTCCAATTTAATGTTATAAGTAAATTAAAGAATAGAAAAAAAAATTTTTTTTTTTTGAAATATGTCTTAATTCTTAAATCTCAACGCCATTTGAAAATTTTTAAGAGTTTAAAAACTTTTTAAAAATATAATACTTTTGCTTGTTTTTTATTTTAAACTACACCCAATATAGCACAACAAATATTTGGAGCCAAATATTTCTACAGCAAATTTAATCCATAAAAAAGGGAGCCGCGTTATTAAATTGCAAAGTAATCTTATTTTACGGACTTTAATTAAAAAATTTCTTTATTAATAGATTGAAGAAGAACGGAAACAATTAACTTTATTTCTAAATTAAAAAAAAAAAAAGAATTGTTGGCGTTTTTACCACATAATTTCTCTGCCAGATAATGTGACACTTGATATTCTCTCTTTAAACCCCTCTCTAGAAAATATCACCCATACATTGAGACGTAATTGAGGTAAGGGCGTTTAATGAGGTGAGCTCCACCCGCGCCCCGAAAGGTGGGCATGCTACAAAAGGGCGAGGTAAAAAGGAACAAAGCTACAGATCACATTAATAACCTCCCCGCCATCGGAGAGCAGCGATCCAATTTCCGGACTAAAAAGGCCATTAAAGATTCTTAATTTAATGGGAAATTAGGAAACTTCGATAAATGATTGCTATGTCTGTTTGACATATTGTTTTAACTGTCGTCATTGTCTAGGCCATGTCTTACATAATAGGAAATCATCTGTTCGATGTCATGCTTACGCTTTATTGGTACTTAAAATAAGAGCTTCAGTTTTCCAGCAATTGACAATTCAAATGCCTTTAATTTGTTGGCTCAATATTTATAACATTTATTCTTAAATTAAGCAATTCCAATAGTTGTAGAGCAAGGATATAACGAGTTCCTCTACTTAATTGTTACATTGATAAAACTAGGTGGATTCTCCTTTTGAGATGCATAAAAATTTTAAAACTCTCAATTAGGCTAGTAATTTAACTTCGATGCATGTCTCTCTAAAACACGTGATCTTATAAATAAATGAAATCCTGTTTCGCGCATTCCTTTCGAGCTACAAATCTGAGCGATTTTGTAGGTTTAAATAACTACTAAAAATGATTTGCAATCATGATTATAATACTTTGTTGAACAGGATGAGAAGTTCAATTTACTTAAGAGCCTGCTTTGACATTTTCAAACTAACACTGTAAAGTAAGTTGCCAACCTAACTAATACAAAGTGTCTAATCATTTCCGTGAGGCAAAAATTTAAACCCAATGGAATAAACATTGTTTAAAAAAAGATTAAAATACAATTTTTTTTTAATAAAAATACTATGTAACTAAGAATAAATTTTGATAAATTATTTTGATATTAGAAAACTATATATTTATATAGTATAAGAAGAAATAAATAAAATAATTCACATTGATTTCCCAAACTATTATCATTTCCACACTGTAAAAATCGGTGAAAAGGGGTGACATCATCCATAAAACTTATTTTACCGTAAAATTCCTTTTCATACAGTATATTTTACAAAAATAATTATTTAACTGCAGTCCTTCAGTGATTTTACAATTAATATTACTGCAAAAATTACGGCATATTAGATTTTTTGCTCCGCAAGTTTTACGGAAAAAATAGATTTTACGGTAAAAAGTTCCGGCATCCTGAGTGCCGATACATTTTACCGTTATTTTATCAGGAACTATTTACAGTGTAAAATATTATTAAACTTTTAATTTAAATAGAAAAATTTTACTATTTAATTTAAAAAGGTAAACTTTTTTTTAATGCATTTTACTTGGGATACTCCTCTACATATATCAATGAATGAACTAAACCATTAATCAATAATAGAATAAGACATAACAAATCTAAGCAAATTAAAATCAATAAAGCAAACTTTACATTTATTTTTCTCTCTATGTATAAAATATGATAAAACCCCGGAAATGGTTTTGGCTTCCCAAATGCAGGTATTTTTTAAATTGAAGAGGTAATATTACGGACATAACAATAACCATTTGGAAACATTTCGAATGAAGATCTATAATAATTAATTGTGCAAAAGACAACCTTACCTGACTCAAAACGAGCAGAATATCTTTTGGGTGCAGCCTGTGTATAATGAGCATATCATATACAGCGCATAGGATCAAAACAGTAACGCCATGCTCTTTTGTGAGCATAGACGCAGCTGATAACAAAAGACACAAATACAAATACTGTTTTTTGTCTCTATATTTACAATATCTCATGTAAGACAGTAGAGCTAACAGAAAGAAAAAGGCAGCTCCGACATCAGCACGTCCCACTACTCCGGCCACAGCTTCCGTGTGGATGGGATGCACGGCAAAAAGCAGTCCTGCCGTCAGTGTGGGCAATATACTTCTGCAGAATATGATGGAGGCAAAATGCGTGAAGAGGCCACACACCATGGTGTGCAGCAGCACGTTGAAAAAGTGGTAGCTCCATGGATCCATACCTCCCAAGGCATAATTTAGCCTGAAGGAGAGAACACACAGCGGTCGGTATGACTTGTGAGATCCACTATGGGTAAGTGGTGTACCCCAGAAATCGTTGTAGAACAGCTGGCTGACTGGAGTGCTTGGCAAGAGATCTTGGTTCGTCTTGATGGCACGGCTGTAATAAAAAAAAAGATATTTCAGAAATAGCAAAATATTTACATATTATGCGTGCTAAAAGCTGGTACTATCTTCTTTTGCGCAATTTCATTAACTGATTGTGGATGTGGCTAAATCACATCGCCTTTGAATTATCCAACTGTTCAACAAACTTTTTAGACGTACCTTGTATTTATTAATCTTATTTAATAATTATCACATCTTAAATCTGAGCTACTAAAATTCATAAAATATTGTTTTATTCGATAGATTCGATAGATTTCATAAAATATTGTTTTAATTCTATCAATTACATAGTGTTGAATCTATACCTTTTGTTTTGCGAAGTATATTTGTTTTACAACGCATTTGCAATTACAACTACATGATATTAATGCTTATATATTTTTTTTCGTTCAATAATATTTTCAACTAAGAGAACACAACTTTGTACAGTATTTTTATTTTAATTCAAACTTTTTAAATGAAAGGAACAAAAGTTTTGTTAAAAAGAATAATTTTCTAAATATATTTCTTTAATTAAATGAACCCCAGAACACAATAGTCCATATATCTTTCGTCATTCTAATTCATATATTCTAAAATTATAATTAGTAATTAGAAAAAAGGACTCTGAAGTAGTGGGTAATTTTCAAAGGTGTATAATTAGATGCATTATCTGAAATCCATCAATATTTAAGAAAAAATTCTCTCTGAAAGAAATCATTCTTGTGGCGTTTTTATAAGAGAATTGTTATTTTTTACTTGCTTATTTATTTATTTTTGCAACAAGATGTTTCCCCGCTAATTCAAAACAGTACTATTTTATATTGATGTGTGTTGAATAAATGAAAAAAAAAAACTTTTTCTATTTTCTTGCACAATGCAATTTCTTAAAGGGGTCGTATACTGAATCGCCCATAGCCCAAACCATTCTTAACGAACATGATGCACGCGTCGCATCTTTGTGATGGTTTCTAATATCAATGTGTTCCGCAATCAAAGGGTTGCGGAAACATCACTGGAAACAAAAGCAGAATATTCTTTTGTTTGAATTATATACATTCAAAATCAATATATATATACTTAAAGTTAAAAAATGTTTTGTTTGAAATGTTTCATGCAAATCCGATATAATTACAATATGAGTGAATTAATTCCTTTTTGGCCTCTCAGAAGTTTGAATAATTTTCCCAAATTAATTTCAAAGGAACGATTTTTGAAAACAAAATAACTCAATTAGTAAAATCAATGAAAAGACTCCCTAAATGAACTTGCAAGCAAATGCTACCTTGTAGCAAACTTCCTCCATTTTCAATTTCAGAATTCACAACCTCTCATGTTCAAAAATAACACTCAGCAATAAACGACACTCATAGTGGAGCCAAACGTGAATCAATCCCCAATTATACAATTCCTTTCCCAATAGCTCAAGTATTTCTGCAATAATTAAAAATTTTTCTCCGACAATACAAAGAAACCTCTTTAGAAATTCTTTTCTATGCCATCTTTTCAACGAGCCTAAACATCCGAAACTCTCATTAAAATATTTTCCCAGATAACCAATCCCGTGTCGTCTCCGCAACCTTTTACTTCACCGTACCATAGGAATATTGAAGATACTCTGATTTCAATGGCTTGCACAAAAATGACTTTTCGCGGACGAGCACAAGCCTTTAATTAAACGAGCACTTATGGTGGGAGCGTAGATTATTAATTCCCTTTGGCTGATAAATATCTACAGAGAAAAGAGTTTTGCGAGTTGAATTAATTTAATAATATACCCGCAGCTGGAAAATGATTCACCATAAAGAAACGGAAAGCTTCGCTAATTAGGTGAACCGTCTGACGCTTTAAACTGTTTTACAGAGTTTGCTTCAGTAGTAGTTCTTATTTTCAAATAGAAACAATGACAGATTCAGTTTAAGTTTTTGAAACAAATGTAAAATATCAAACAAAATTGATTAAACGAACTTAAAATTTTTATTTTGATGAAAAAATGTTGAAAATGTGACGAGACTAATATTTATCACACAATTTTGCGATGGTGAAATCATCTCTTTATGGCAGAACTGAATATAAAGGTCCCATTAGAAAATAAATGTAAGTTTCATGACATTATAATAAATTTCATATAATTTGTGAGGGCATGTAAGAACTTGGTTTTACAAATTGTACTTAATAAAAAAAAATTGCTTAAGACTGAATTGAATAGAAAATAAATCAAATTGTTACATTTTAATGTAAGTTCGAGAGTTACGACAGAATTATATTTTTTTTTATTGTGCCATGAAAAAAACTACTCATAAGAATAAACAATAATTTCTGCTCATAAGAATAGACAATAATTATTCTATTTCATTCATTAGAAACGCGTCGTTTTAAAATTTAAGTTGTGTTTTTTTAAATATTTTGCACGAACAGGTAAATGTTTTTTTTTACTAATTACTTCCCTTTAAAAGAGTAAAGAACAGTTTTTTTTAACAGCTTTAAAGCATGAAGATAACTATAAATTTCTAACAAAGTAAATCCATAGTACAAACTTTATCGGAAATGTAATATACCTATAATATTTTGAGCGCTTTCAGATTGCGAAGAAAAAAAACCTTTCATAAAGTTTCAATCCATTATAATTTATTCCCAAAAATGTAAAATTGCTTAAATTTTTTGCATTCATTAATAAAACTGTGAATTTATTTCATTCCTTTCATTAAACCCATTCATTTGCGATACTGAAATATTTCGAGTTCGTTTCAAAGGATATGACATAGCTAATCTATTTGTCAGAAAAAAATGAATTCATTAAAGAGCACAATAAATTTATTAATTAAAAAATTAATTTTAAACTCAGTTACGTTTAGCAAAATCTAACACCTTCTTTATAACCTCTTTGTAAAATCTATTACTTTTACAACGTAATTCCAATGCTATTCACTCTACCTCCGGGATTTAAGTATGGCACAGTAAAATGCGCCAACAATTTGGATGAGAATTAGATCCCATTGTCATCGTGAAAGCAGACAATCCTATTTCAATGCTATGCATAAAAATGAATATGAGTTTGGATGTTATATTTAAGAGAAATATTATTTAATTTGTATGCTATATTTATCCAGTCAAGTTTGCCCACATTCGAAAACATAAAAATAAATTGGAAAGAATGACTAATTCAAGTGAATGAAAATATTTAATTATTCAAATGCATGTGATTTATTAAAGATCAAACAAATGATCCTTGAGTTTCGATTAAATAAATTCATTGATAACTTTTTTTAAATTAAGATGTTAAAGAAATAAAGCTTATTTATTTACTCCTTATAATATAGAATAATTTCTGATGAATAATGTAATACGTAGTATACATTATTCATCAGAATATATTCATCAGAATATCATTTAATACGTAGTATTAAATGATATTTCATAAGTGCGTGGATTATTTACATTCAACCATAAACTATAAACACCATGCCCGTAAATTTAGACTTGAATAAAGACTTATTTTTTATTATAGTGATTTACATTTCCTCGATAATAAATTATTTGAAATTCAGTCATGACTTTCACAGTCACATAATTGTTCTTATTGATAAGTTTGTTTTCTTCAAACATACTTACTTGTGATGATAATGTGTTACCATTTTTCTGTAAGAAATTACTTCCCATTTACTCATATCATAGTTCTTTAGTCATTAAGATTGTTAATTTTTATCAGTAGGATATTCACTTTTGATGATAATATTTTGCTAATAAGAAATTTTCTATTAAATCTATTAAAAATTTTTATAGATTCTCTTATAACTATCACAATCGTTATAACTATTTCAATAAATTTAAATAAATTAACCCTTGACGATAATGTTTAGTTATTTTTCTTTTTACAAAAATTTCAGATTTGCTCATAACAATGATAGTCTTGATTATTAATTTTTAGTCACATAAATAAGTTTATTTTCTAAGAAAGTGCTTTGAAATTTTTTTACAGACATTGATTTTAAATCATTTATATCTCTTGTAAAAATAGATAGACCATTCAACAATTTTAAGTTTATTAAAAATACTTCTTTAATGATAATATTTTTGCAGCTACATAAAAGAGTATTAAATTAGAATAAATCGTTTTATTTTAATGTCTTTCTCTCAATTCATGTTAGGAATAAGAATTCTATTCTCATGTAAAAAGTATCATTTAAAGAAAACATTTGTTCGAAAAAATATTTGAATAGAAATGATTGCAATATCAATAATCATAGACTAGAATAGTGCTTTTATATGTATGCTTGGTTACTATTCAATTCCCTTTCAAGAACAACTTGGAAGTAATCCAAATATAAAGTATAAGCGATCAAAAGACGTTTTATGTTCAGGAGTCATAGCAAATATTTATCTCTCCAAATATTTTCTTTATTTGTCATTTAAAGGCTTGGTATTGAGCCAACTCTTTATATTTTTAGTGTTTGATGTTTATTAATAACAAACTTTGAAGCATAGACATTTCTGACATTTTCTTGACACAATTGTACTTTCCAAGAATACTTTCAGTTTCTATTCTATAAGAAATGCTACACATATTTAAGATTTTATGTCAAAAATCAAGTACAATTTAAATTTCGCTTAGAAAACCATTGAAAAAAAAATTGAAGCAAATAACGTTAAATTAAAAGTTTTACGAATCAAGTAATTTTTACACTTCCTTAATAAAGATTGATTTTGAATATTTTCAAAGAAAGAGCTAATGTTTAAAGGCTTATAAAATAATATTTGTTTTTTTACCTTTTCTTTCCTAGAGCATTTAGCTGAAGTGGACTAAAAAATTATTCAAATATTTTAAATATCTTTTAAAAATCTTCAAAAAACAATTGTGACTGCATGACGTGAGGGGTCGTTAAAATATTTACACAAATAAAAATAAGCATTCATAACTAGCAATAGGAACAGAAATCAAATATTTATTATTAAATTATTTGAAACATTTAATAACTACTTATAGTTATAATCCTGAAAAAATGTTATCTTAAT